AACCCCAACAGACTTCCTAGCTGTGTCAGCTGCCTGTTTAGTCCATGGCCAAATCTCCAAAGCGGTGCCAAAGCAGCGCCGAATCTTTCAGATCTGATTCACTCTAATCAAATCAGGACAGCGATTCGAATCTCTGAAGCGAATCGCTGTCCTCCAAGTTGGCCGAATCCAAATCCAAAGCAAATGCTTGCCACTTCGCACAGGCCTGTTAGCCACTATTAAGATCTGATACTGGATGAGACAAACTAGTGGTCTGAGCCATCATGAATATTCCTATTTTTCTATATGAATTTTGTCTTACCCTGAAATCCTTGTTGTTATTTCAAAAATCACACATTAAATAACTATTTTTCTCTTATAAAACAAGTTATTTTATTAAAAAAAACCCCTGATATCACAGTTCATAGATTTTCTCTGAGTCTTTTAGTTAGCTCCAGAAATTGTTCTTCACCATTGGTTAGAATCAGGGACAGTATCTGAATATCAAAGGTCATTAGAATATGGTATCATGGAAAGGATCAGTCAACCTTTATTATAGGTTAAAATGAAGAGCCTGTTTCTGATTTACAGGAAGGCATATACTTTATATCATTTTGGCAATTAAAGGGACCCATAAAGTGAGCGTCAGTGTACTCTCATAATTACTTTCTCTACATCTTCTTTACATTTCTACCACCTTATAACTCTTTTTATTGTCAGTGTAGTGTAAAGGACTTTAGCATAAGTCAGAATCAAATTCAGTTTTGGATCACCACTCCAGAAAGGGTGTGGACAAGTTGGAAAGAGTCCAGTAGAGGGCAACAAAAATGGTTAGGGGGTTAAGGCATATGACTTCTGAGGAGAGGTTGAGGGAACTGGGCTTATTTAGTCTGCAGAAGAGAAGACTGAGAGGGGATTTGATAGCAGCCTTTAACTACCTGAAAGGGGGTTTCAAAGAGCATGGAGCTGGACTATTCTTAGTGGGGGCAGATGACAGAACGAGAAGCAATGGTCTCAAGTTGCAGCAAGGAAAGTTTAGGCTGGATGTTAGGGAAAAACTTTCTCACTAGGAGGATGGTGAAGCACTGGAACAGGTTACCTAGAGAGGTGGTGGAATCTCCTTCCTTGGAAGTTTTGCAGGCTTGGCTTGACAAAGCTCTGGATGGGGTGATCTAGTTGGGGATGGTTCTGTTTTGAGCAGAGAGTTGGACTAGGTGACCTCCTGAGGTCCCTTCCAACCTGCATTTTCTATAATTCTATGAATTTTATATGTTGAAGCCCCAATTTTCCTTTACATCAAGGGTCGGCAATGTTTTTAAGCAGAGTGCCAAAAATACCCGCAACCTCGACTCGTAAGAGGTTGTCATGCTGGAGCAGATGACAGGGGAGCCACAAAGGGATTCGATCCTAGTTGTGGCAGTGGAGCCCTGGTCCCTTCACTGCCATCCGCTGAGGCATGCTTGCACCTGCCACAAGCAACAAGCTGAGCTAGGGCTCTGTGGACCCTGATTTTCAACTGCTTTCAGCCTCCCTGTCATCTACTGTGAGCAGCCTGGGCTCTGTGGCAGGCAGCAGTGACCTGTTTAGAGCTCAGACCAGCTGTGGCAGGCAGCTGGAAGGCTGCAAGCAGCTGCACTGGGGTCCATGGAGCCCCAGCCTGGCTCGTTGCTGGTAGCAGGTGCACACATGCCTCAGGGCAGACAGAAAGAAGCTGAGGCTGCATTGCCACAATAAGGATCAGGCCCTTTGCAGCGCCCCCACCATCTGTCTAAGGCATGCATGCCAAGCAAAATGCCATCACATGCCGCGCTCTGGCATGAACGCCACAGGTTGCCAACCCCTGCTTTACATTAAGTCAATTTTACCACATGCTTGCAGTGTGAAAGGTCTTGAAGTGAGCATAAATCACTCAAACAGAGCAGGTAAAGGGGCTTTAGTGTCCATGGGAATTAAACACAATACAAATATTTTTATGATTTTTTTTTTAAATCTGAACATTTCTTTTTGAGCCACTAACACCTGATCTTAGACACGGACGTTTTTGTGGTTCAGAGCCCATAGTAGCCACAAGAGTTCATGTGTAGCTTTAAAAACCAATCTGTGTCCTCTTTGCACTTCACTTATCTCCTCACATCCCACGGCCACCTTTCAAAGGATCTCGCGGCACTCCAGGGTGCTGTGACACCCTGGGTGAGAATCACTGGTGTAATCCAACTGCAACAATTGGGATTATATCATAGCATGCATTAACCATGCTCAATGCCTTCTTAATATCTCAGAAAGAGGATACATTATTCCTGAATTTCCAGCCGATGGAGGGGATGGTGTGATTCACACGCAGCTCACTCCAGGTGGAAGGGGGCAAATCCCTGAATTAATACAAAGCCAAAGAAGAATCCCAAGGGACAAATGATCTCAGGAACTCACATAACTGACAGATATGAAACAGTAGGACAAGGGACCCAGGATGATGAAAATAACCACTCTCACTATAATAATCCATGAAGAAGAAAGATGCCTTGAATCCAACACATCCCCACCCTTCAGGGTTGTCTTTCTGCTGTTGTATTGAAAAAATAGACAAAACCATATGATCTGTTCCTTATTAATACACCTTAACAGTCCTTTGCTGCCTTCATTGTTCATGCAATTAGAAGGAAGATTGAATACTGGGTGAGCAAGAGAAAGGGAGATCATTTACAAGAATTCACACTCCCCACCAGGACATCAACTGTTTTCATCTGCTTTTGGATTTGGTTTCTCTCTTCCTAGATAAATGATCCTGGTATACATTTTCTTTTGGAGAAATCTAAACTAATTTTTCTACATGTGTGTAAGATCAGTTCACAATTAATATAAAATGGGAAAACCCTGATCTGTGCCAAGTAACGATGTAAGTTTGATCTTATGACAAGGAATTTTTCTGTAAACCTTTTCTATTTTTTCCAGTCCCTACAGATAGAAGAAATCTTCCTCCTGTAGAAAGCTTGGTTCTTGGTGGAGTACTAATGGCAGTCTTAGTTATAACTGGCGTCTTTGGAAAACTTTTACTTCAGTCAAGAAGAGCCTATCCTCCTATGCAAGCACAGCTCACTATGTCACATTTTCACAACTCAGAAGTACCATCATGATCCAGTGACTTCCCCATATTAGATCTGATGCACAGCATGTGTCATAAGATGCAATAGGAACATAATCCTACCTCCAACTAACTGTTGTTTTACAAAATTAAATTTTTGTTTGGGTACATCTGAATCGTACGAATTATTGTGGTATGCTCTTCTGTTCACTTTCATGCCACTGTAGTTTACAGAAAATGAGTACAGTTTAAAATAATGCATGATGAGAACTTTATTTTCTAAGATTTTATTTTTTGCAGGCTTATTGTGATTTTTCTCTATCAAGGAAAAATCTGTTACCAGTTGTTTTTATGGTATAAGCACCAAATGACTTGTCACTTTCTTTTGAGTTTCATAAGACAAACAGAGACTGTTCTTTTGATTGAACTTGTTGCTGAGTCACAGCCAAAAGTGTATGAACACAGACTTTTACCACTGTGGCTGTATTCCAGTGACTACCAGGGCAGCAAAAATATCTCTTGTTCTCCCCTTCCACTTGGGTGGAAAAAATGTAATTCAGTGTCTCATCTTAGTGGGATTTAGACAGGACTCCTACACCACCTGCATCACCACTTTAAGTATATGAAGAAATTAATTTTTCCATTTTTTGAGATGAACATAAATCCCTTATATCTTACTCTGATCATTTTCTTCGGAATCCGGGAAGCTGTTTCAATATGAATAAAATTTGTAGTCTAGACCTAATTAGATCCTTGTAACAGAGTAAAAGCACAGGACAGCTCAAGGCTTATTGCAGAAATACAGCTGGCACCAGTTCATAGTAGACTTTTTAGGTATTACAATATAATTGACTATGAAGGTAATTGTGTTGATCCTAACCCTAACTTAATTAGAATGCTAATGTAGATGGGAATTAAAACTGCCCTTTCCCTCTACTAAGTCATAGGTCTTTCATGCTTAAGGTTGGGAAGCACAGGAGAGAGTATGAGAATTTCTGAAATTGTTTCTTTTATAATATCAGTATGCAAGATAATATGGCATAGTTTCTAGGGTCAGAAGGGACCTGAGTAGATCATCTAGTCAGACCCCCTGCGATGGCAGGAAAGAGTACTGGGGTCAAACGACCCCAGCAAGGTGTACATCTATCCTCCTCTTAAAGACCCCTAGGGTAGGAGCCAGCACCACTTCTCTTGGAAGTTGGTTCCAATTCTAGCATAGAATAACTAGTATTAGTATTATTACTTTTCAGTATTAAAATCCCTATACAATTTGATGTTTTGGAATCGCACAAAACTTACATAGGAGCAGAAGGGATCATAAGTGAAAGGATCATAAGCAGGGATCCTGGTTTTCTCTGTTTAAAAATCCCCAAATTCTCTGATTAAAACCCCTGAAATCTGTGTTTTTCCGCAATTAAAATGAAACGCCACTATATATAGGTATCAGTTGAACACAATGTTTTATTGATACATTTACAATTTTAAAGCAATTTGAAAGCCTACCAGTGCCTCAATCATTGGACTAAAATAAATTCTAAATACCTATATATTTTAGGGTTTTGATTTTGTTTTTTTTTATCATGGAAAATCAGAGCTTCCCCTACCTGCTTCATTCATCAGCATGTGGATCCAGCTGCAGCTGTCCCCCTCACTGCTGTGTGGCGCTGAGCAGCTGTGATGTGCCAGTGCCCCTTACTCCCAAGCTACAGCGCTCCCACCCTCACTTCTGACCCGCAGCCCCCATCACTGCAAGTGCCCCTCAATCCCAACCCAGAGCCCCTCACCCCTGCAGCTCTGCTGGTGCCCCTCTCTCCTGACCTGCTGCTCCCATCCCCAGCCCCCAGTGTGTAGGGGACGGGGGATAGTTGTGTGTGTGTGGGGGGGCCAAGCACAGGTATGTTTAGGGTGGTCTGGGGGGCACAGAACCCCCCCCCCCAGGTTTTTGCTCCCACAGAGGGGCACAGGGCTGCAGCCTGGCGTGTGGGTGGGACCTGGCGTGGAGCAGCGAGACTCACTGCTGCTGCTTCCATGACTCCCATGCCAGCCGTACCACCAGCAGTGTGAGGAATAATGGACCGGGGAGCCACGCTGCCACCAGCCGCTTGCATGCTGGGCCATAACTCTACCACACTGCCATAACCCGGCCACCACTGCTAGTTCTCCTCTCAGGCTGTCCATGCTTCACCTCCCCTCCAGGGTACAGCTGCAGCCTGGTGCATGACCAGCTAGCAATGAAAGGAGGTAAGGGCAGCGTGGCCCCCTTCCCCAGTCCGTTACTTCTTGGGCTGCTTGTAGCATGGCTGGTGCAGGGGTCTGCTGCCCTTCTCTACCCTCCTGCGCTGATTCCTGCCCGCTGGGCCGCAGAGGCAGCTCCTGCTTGTGCAGGTCCAGCCAGACTGCAGTCCTATGCCCTGCTGTGAGCACATAAATCTGGGGGAGCACATGTCCCCTATGCCCCCCCAGAGACTGACCTGTGGGGAGCTGCAGGAGCTGCTCTCCACCACTGCCTGGCTGCCATGTGCATGTGTGCACACACACATGCATGTTGTGTCCCCTGCCTGAACACCCTCCTCCCGCTCCCCCCAGGCCCAAGCAGCTCCTTGTAGGCTGGAACTGTACCAGCCTGTCAGGGGAAACCTGTGGTTTCCCATGGTTTTTTCCTTTAAAGGAGAAAATCTGCATTTCTCCACGGCAGACAGAAAACCTGGATCCCTAGTCATAAGGTATTGTCATAGGAGAGTAACAAAAAAAACCCCTCAAACAATCCTAGGAGGCATATCTTTCATTGTGCTAGGTTTAAAACTTTGGCCCTGAATGCATATATTGAACTTGGTATGAGGTCACTGGTGTTTGTACACATTCCATTCTCAGACTGGGCATGGAAACAATGGAAGTTGTATGTGCAGATCTAAGGGTGGAACTTGATACCGTAAATGTTGATGTTTCATATTTATGCCCTGTCAAATGGAAGTGCTTGTGTGTGTTCAAATCTTTTGCTAATGTGCACATAACATGTTTATTTTTTTTTACATTTATGGTCTGGACCAAAACTTTAAATAATTTTACCATACATAATACTCATGCACAAACTGTTGCAAGAACTTCAGTTCACTTATAAATGCTTGCAACTTGAAAGGTCTTATACAATTAAAAATTATAAGAACAACTGTAATTTAAGGCTGTTCCTTGGGAAATAATTTGCACATTTTTGTAGTCTTAAAAGTTTCTAATATTTTACATCTCATAAAATTACTGAGTAGCAGGAATTTCTCAGTTTGCAGATACAGTCTGACAGCATGGTCTTTGAAATAGGTTTGAAATGGTCAGAAATAAAGCCTAAGAGAAAGCCAGTGTCATCTGGTTCTATCTGGTGTGGCCAGCCAATATGGATCTGGCATAAATTGCACTCCAACCTTTCTGTGGAAATTCCGTATACAGAATATCACCAGACACAGATATTCATTTTTCTCTCATAACCCAAATGTAGTTTCATTCATTTGGCTTTGAGCCAGTAGAAATAGCTTCTAGATTTATTCACCCACAGCACTGCCACAGGCCATGAAGCGCTAGAATCTTGTATCTACGTTGATGGAAGATGACTACTGAGCTAACAGTGCGATTAATTCTATCCAGGCTGCTTAACCAAAATGGCAGCTCATATTATGTTTGTTATTGGGGGGTAGGGGAGGAAGAGATGGAAACAGCTCACTGAATATCAGTGAGTCCATCCATGTGCAGTGATAGGTTCTTCCCTGAGTCACTGAGGGTGCATCTACACATGTGCTTTAATGTGCAGTAAAATAGGCTACTGTGTATTAAAGTGTCACATCAAAAACCGTGCAAATATGCTAATGCACAGTAAAATAGGCTACTGCACATTAAGCATCACTAAAAAGTGTGCTTTCAGTACTGTGCATTAGGGTTAGGAGCTTAATGTGCATTTATTTAGTACCTTACACTGGAGAACACTTTTACATATGCTCTGGGAGTTGGGGGGCAGTGCTTTAATTAGTTAAAGCACTGTCACGTCTCATGTATCAGCATCCTCACACTTAAAAATGGCGGTAGGGGTGTTTGAAATAAAGCTCATTTGATAACCTTTAGTTCAAGTGCCCCCACCGCCATTCTTAAGTGCAGGGACGCTGATATATGAGAAGCAGAGGTCTGATTGAGTGCAGCAATTGCCACACTCCAGCAGACTCAATGAATTGAGTCTGCTCTGATGTGCTGGAATTCCAGTGCATGGGAGCAGCCTCCCTGCTCATGTATAGGTGCCCAGAGCTACTAAATTTAATGTGTACTGGAAAAAGCACATTAATGCACTTGTAGGTGTGCTCTGAATATCCATATATGAAAGCAGCCAGGGGCAGGTAAACAAAAGGCCTGGTACCAGCACCGTACCTAGACTCCTGGTGACCCTGGGTAAACTTTTAGTATCAGGCCAGAGATAATTCTAATATTATCTAATTATCTTTGCCAGAAATAATTCTAATATTATAAAAGCCTTACTCTGTCTGCCTGTCTGTCCATAACACTTTTTTTGCACTCTGATTGGTTTTCTGACAGGAGACGTTGGTGGCGGTGCAGCATTGCGCTGCCATGATGGGAACGGAGCTGGAGGGTGGACAATAGGAAAAAATTACCTTGCCCGGCTCCTCTTTGTGTCCAGGCTCCACATGGCCACCCAGTTCATCCATGCCTGTGTCTGGCCTTGCCTGGTACTAAAGGATCATTCTGCTGAATGGGAAAGAAATTAAAATGACTAACTCTACTTCTGCACTACCCCATTGGCCGTTAGAAGGAAAAAGTCTTTCTACAGATATGCATGGGGTTAAGGAATTAGAAATGCCGGGGTAGGTCCATCTCAGGCCAGATGTGGACTCCAAGTCACGTTCCCGGCTACCTGCAGTAGGACTATGGGAGCTCCGCCAGCCGGCACCCACCAAAGTGAAGACACGGTGCCAGGAAGTAAGGGGAAACCCTGGGTGGATCCAGGATTTTGTCAAGGGGGTGCAACCAGTGCTGCACTCCAGACAGGGGAGGGAAGCAGGGCTGGAATCCTGCTCTGTGCTGGTAACAGTGTCACTGTGTCTTAAATATGAAATGATAGTCCTGGAACCTCAACGTGATCGTACTTGCTGAAAAACTATCGTGTGCCGATAAAATATGCGAATAAGTTGTCTTTACTTTCTGTCATTCACTGTAATTCTCCAGTGAGGGAGCGAGAAGCAGGTCCTCAAAGTTGAAACCTTTATTTCGAGGCAAGCAGTGGCAAGAACGTGCTGCCATCAAGCCCGAGAGTGGGCTAAGACTCCTCAAGAGTGGCTTGGGTTTTGCACGTGCTGCATTCATGACCTGTCTCAAAAATGGTGGCGCACTAACACTTTTCCCCTCAAGTGCTCCTACATCGCGCAAGGGTTGAAGTGATCGTGTAAATACGGTAACAGTCGCACACCCGCAACACAGGACATCCCCTTCCCCCACCCCCAACGTCACAGGCGGGGGGCGAGGCTGCATCCGGGCACTCGGCGGTGCTGAGACGCCCCTTCCCGGCTTCTCCCTGCAGCGTCGGCGTCGGCGTGCGTCACCGGCGCCACGCCCCCTCCCCCGCCCGCGGCGGCTGTGCAGGCTCCGGATCGGCCGTGAGCAGAGGACTGCGGGCTCGGCGCGCGCGTGTGCGCCTGCGCAGGGTAGGGAGTCGC